CAAGAGCACTCTACACTACAATCCATCTGACCACCCCATCTCCCGACCTCCACTTTACGCACTTTCAGGCTCGAGTTCAAAGTATTGTCTTTTTGCCTCTTTCTCCTCTCTTTTCATATTTCCCTCGCGGCGCCGCGCTAAGAACACCTGCCAATCTTCTCCTCGCAACTGTCCACTGTTGCGTTCGGGCTCCGGAAACAGAAGGACGGGAGACACCTCTTCTTGGGAATCAAGTGAGATGAGTTGATTTTCTCCGCCGCTCTGACACCCATTGTCAGCGTGACCCCATGAGGAATCTACATCGCCCCATGCGAAGACAGGCTCCGGTTGCATTTCTCCGCCAGCTGGTGTTTGGCCCCATTGTAGGGCCTCGGTCGCAGAGGTGACAGCCTCCCGGAAGGGAATATAGCTACGCAACATAGGGTCAACGACAGACACGCCCTCGGTGCAGAGGACCCATATTGGGATCGAGAAATGTTCGAACATGGGCAGTTGCCCTTCCCAAGGGCAGTGGATGGAGGAGATGAACACTCCGGTGCGTTGAACATTGGCCGACAGATCTCCCACAAACGAACACGATAACTCGAGAACCCATTCAGCCGGTATGGGGCACTCGCGGTCATCGGTCAAGACAGACATCCAGGGGCGATTGGAACCTCGATATCGGCGACTCATAATGTGCCATGTGCAGGCAGCGGCAGTTACTAGAAAAATATCAGTCGCAGTGCAATGAGGATAGGAATCGACGTACATAAAAATGCGTTGCGCGACCTTTACAGCGAGTTTGGCATTCTCGTGTGAACGAAGATACCCAAATGTATGTGGAGGGGGTGGAAGTGTAGTCCCCCACGGAACGAACATCCCGGCACCCAAACGCTCCTGGCACCAGATCAATTTCTTCTCTAGCTCGTACCATCTTTCTCTGATGTCGCGATGAAGTATGTGCTTGCCCTGTGCATCGACCTCTGTGCGGAGAGAAAACCTGGTGTGGTTCAGGCATTCGAAGATGGGCCCATCAAAGCTCGGGTTCAAAGGCACGACAGGAAACCATGGACGCGATGCATACGCCCAGCAAGGACTGAGTGGCCTTTCACTGTCATCAGGAGAATAATCGTGATTGTCACGGGGGTCCCAGATAGGTTGATAGGGAATGACTTTGGGCAGGAAGTGCGCAGTGAGAGAAGTGAAGACCTTCGCATCACGCACAAAGACTTTGAGGGCGGCAGTCATGGAAGGGTCGGAAGGGTTGGGTTGACTCGTAGAACGATACGGTTGATCAAAACTACAACCAAACTACTACCACAACAGTATAAACCGATGAGTTAGAGTTGGCAGCAGCTATGGGTTGACGCACAGAATAACGCGGTAGACAATCTAGAAAGCAGGGAAGTGCGAGGGAAGTGTGCGAGGGAAGTGCGCAACAGTACAAACTGTTTTAATGCGACAAGTGGGTGGAAAAGAAGTGCAGACCGAAACTTGGGATTATAAGGGATCGATAACAATGGAGGTCGGTGTGGAAAGTGGAAGTGGTGGACTCCAAAGTAACATGCGGGGTTTTAATTGAATGTGTGGATGAAGGCCACTTAAGTTGAATCGAACAAGCCGAGGACAAGATGCGGCTAGTGATGATAATTTCACATATGTAGGGAGTTGGGTGGCGCTCATGATGTTGTAGGAATATGTGTATTGCAGAGGGATAAACGGCTGGGATGACTTTGAAACTTGAAAGAAATTTAAGCAAGGGGTAAATTCGCATGGTACAGCGTTCTATCATATAGGGAAACCGACGAGGAGAAGGGAACACGACAATGACCGATTGAGGTCAGTAGGGCAAGCGGGTGGCGAAATACGACACAATGGTTCCAGAGCAGAGACACGCATAACCGTGAGGCAGGGAGCAGCCAAAGACTTGGTCACTCGGAAGGCTGGCGATGAAATCGGGAAGACAAAAATCATGGGAGTGAAAAGGTCATCGAGGATTACGAGCTCGACGGTACAAACCGTCGAGCTCCGGGCGACGAAAGCTTCATCGTGTGTCGATGGCCATCCTGACGAGGTTGCAGGTGAATGAAGGAAAGACACAACAATACAAATTGTCGTGCCGTAGCCAAGGGAGATGAACTCGATGATACATATTGTCGCGCCAGGGGATGGAAATGGTTGCAGGAAAGACGTGAAATTTGTCTTCATTGTTGGCACCCATATGTGGAATTATTACATAAGTTATTTAACGCCCAAAGTTTGGACCAAGTCTGACCAAAGTCTGACGTCAGTTATCCTAAATTATGGCAGGTTCCCCCTATTGCCCGAACTTTGAACCGGACTCGAAGTCGGCGAATCGATCACTGAGGTTCAGACCACAGTTCAGAACTGGACCTGGGCCAGAGGCCACTAAGTCAAGTTTAATAAAGTACTTCTCAGAAATGTACTTTTAATAAAAATCAATTTATTGTCCCTTGGGGTCATAGACCCTATGTTGGACATAGCCCTATACTCGGGGGGATTACCCCCACTACTCTATCGTATGTAGGAATATACTTGTCTCCCCTCCGCTGTATTTTAAATAATAACATCTCAAACCTATTGGTTTCATTGCGCATCTCGAAAATAGGCTACGTGATAAGGCAAGGCTGCAAGTATCATTATGGGGACATGCGAAAAAAAGACGACACGAGAATTCACCAAATTTGAGTGCAAGATCAAGGCGGAGTTCACTTACTCGCGAGATGGGCAAATGAAACCAATAGGTCCGAGGGATTACTACAGCGGAGGATGAGATAGCGACAATGTGGTAGGGCTAATTATGTGGTTCTTGTGAAGCTTATACAAGTACAATGAGAAGGTAAATGATGCAGTAGGAATGTGGTAGGGGTATTGGGTATATAACATATGTGATGAGATCTCGCGGAATTAATTCATATCGACACTATGTGCGCACCTCCACTTGAGCCAAGTGGGGCCACTTTGAAGTGAATGATATAGCGGGGATGTCAAGTATGGAAAATATGGTTCTGAAGCACGTCACGCATCCCGCTCACTTTCTCCGAAGTCATTGCCAAGATCAATGTTTACATCTATGTGCAATGTATGAGAAGGCCTTGCGCGCAAGATGAACGCAAACCCACCCTGCATCCTACTGAAACTACGTAGTTGGTGACGCGCACGCATCTGTTCTGGAGTCTGTGGAAAGCCGCTCGAGCGCCGACAGACAAACGTGTGACACGACGTGTTGCGGTTGATGCTGTATTGCGCGGAGTGTTTGTCAGGCCAGAGGATGATGATTGAGTCCCCGCCACGTTCTGGAAGAAATCACGTTGGCACTTTGACTTGTTGAGAGTAGTATCCGCTGACGACCCAACAAAAACTCACCATAACTCGATCTCCTTCTCTTCTTCGAGTGCCAATACTGTACGAGAAAAGCATCTGTGCCATCTAGTCAAAGTGAGGAGAAGTACAGTATCTGTATAGAAGAGAAGAGATTAGACACCAGGCAGAAAAGTCTTATTTTGTTTGGACGAGATGTCTCAGAATGACGATCGATGAAGGAGCTCGAAATATTGGTGGTGCTAGGATAGACGCGGCATCAAGCTAAAAACAAAGCAAGCAGGTATTATTCACATGGACGAACGGCATGCAAGAGAAGAGGTTAGGTTTTCCATACGAATAAAAACTGGTTCTGTTTGGATGTGATGGAGGACAAAAGAGCTGAAAGCGCTCGGTAGTGCTAGGATAGATGCGGTGTCGAGCTAAACACAAAGCAAGCAGATATTGCTTACTTACACGAACGGTAAACTTCAGCAGGTGGAAGACAAAACTAGTAAAATAATGGCAACCTAACCTGGGACTTGCCGTTGCGCTATCTTCAAAGGTGGGAAGAAGGTTGGCATCTAAAAGTGTACAATTAGCTGCGTATGGTGGACAGCGGGAGTAACTTACTGTTGGGTACGGGGAAGTAACAGCCCTGACATGGGCTGATCTCTGCAGTTAGAGCATCATTAATGCTGATAAGGCGTAAATAGATGAGCGACTTGTGCCAGTAAAAACATGCTTGTGCCAAAATATTTGTCAAAAAGATCGGGGAATATCTCAACGGTGTGCTCTTTGAGGTCACGCGAGATCTGTTTCCCTAGCACCATAGACTGGCTAACAAAGTGATGCAAATTGAGCTGGCTGAGCGAACCTTATTTGGAGTCAAGATTTAACTCGCTCTCGTGTATACTGATAATGACGATCCTGTCGCCCTGACGAAACGACATGACCGTACATACAGTCATGCCAGTCATGACGTGGCGTGTGGAGAAGGGGGAAGACCATCGAAGACGTCGAACCAGGGAGTAGCGAAGGACTCGGAACGTTCAACGGTTCAAGGCGATGAAACCGGGAGAGACAGGCGCGCACACGACCGTACAAACAGTCATGCTGCAGGGAAGGAAGCGAACAAGTAAGAATGTGGTAAGGGCGTCGAGAGCGATGAGCTCGACAGTACAAACCGTCGAGCTTGGAACAAGTGGATATATGAAAGAGTTGAGTTGGAGTTGAGTGGAAAACCTACACATATAATTATGACATAAGCTATTTGTTATTGTTGTGCAATTTCATCGCCAAAGTTCCAATGTATTATGTTCTTTCAGTTGAATATAATTCAATGATTGTATATGACTCGACGGTTTGTACTGTCGAGCTCATCGCTCTCGACGCCCTTACCACATTCTTACTTGTTCGCTTCCTTCCCTGCAGCATGACTGTTTGTACGGTCGTGTGCGCGCCTGTCTCTCCCGGTTTCATCGCCTTGAACCGTTGAACGTTCCGAGTCCTTCGCTACTCCCTGGTTCGACGTCTTCGATGGTCTTCCCCCTTCTCCACACGCCACGTCATGACTGGCATGACTGTATGTACGGTCATGTCGTTTCGTCAGGGCGACAGGATCGTCATTATCAGTATACACGAGAGCGAGTTAAATCTTGACTCCAAATAAGGTTCGCTCAGCCAGCTCAATTTGCATCACTTTGTTAGCCAGTCTATGGTGCTAGGGAAACAGATCTCGCGTGACCTCAAAGAGCACACCGTTGAGATATTCCCCGATCTTTTTGACAAATATTTTGGCACAAGCATGTTTTTACTGGCACAAGTCGCTCATCTATTTACGCCTTATCAGCATTAATGATGCTCTAACTGCAGAGATCAGCCCATGTCAGGGCTGTTACTTCCCCGTACCCAACAGTAAGTTACTCCCGCTGTCCACCATACGCAGCTAATTGTACACTTTTAGATGCCAACCTTCTTCCCACCTTTGAAGATAGCGCAACGGCAAGTCCCAGGTTAGGTTGCCATTATTTTACTAGTTTTGTCTTCCACCTGCTGAAGTTTACCGTTCGTGTAAGTAAGCAATATCTGCTTGCTTTGTGTTTAGCTCGACACCGCATCTATCCTAGCACTACCGAGCGCTTTCAGCTCTTTTGTCCTCCATCACATCCAAACAGAACCAGTTTTTATTCGTATGGAAAACCTAACCTCTTCTCTTGCATGCCGTTCGTCCATGTGAATAATACCTGCTTGCTTTGTTTTTAGCTTGATGCCGCGTCTATCCTAGCACCACCAATATTTCGAGCTCCTTCATCGATCGTCATTCTGAGACATCTCGTCCAAACAAAATAAGACTTTTCTGCCTGGTGTCTAATCTCTTCTCTTCTATACAGATACTGTACTTCTCCTCACTTTGACTAGATGGCACAGATGCTTTTCTCGTACAGTATTGGCACTCGAAGAAGAGAAGGAGATCGAGTTATGGTGAGTTTTTGTTGGGTCGTCAGCGGATACTACTCTCAACAAGTCAAAGTGCCAACGTGATTTCTTCCAGAACGTGGCGGGGACTCAATCATCATCCTCTGGCCTGACAAACACTCCGCGCAATACAGCATCAACCGCAACACGTCGTGTCACACGTTTGTCTGTCGGCGCTCGAGCGGCTTTCCACAGACTCCAGAACAGATGCGTGCGCGTCACCAACTACGTAGTTTCAGTAGGATGCAGGGTGGGTTTGCGTTCATCTTGCGCGCAAGGCCTTCTCATACATTGCACATAGATGTAAACATTGATCTTGGCAATGACTTCGGAGAAAGTGAGCGGGATGCGTGACGTGCTTCAGAACCATATTTTCCATACTTGACATCCCCGCTATATCATTCACTTCAAAGTGGCCCCACTTGGCTCAAGTGGAGGTGCGCACATAG